TCATAAAACAAAACAAATCATTTACAAATTTTTTTTTCTTGTGCAGAATAAATTAACAACCACGTCGTTTTTCATCAAATATTATTTATGTGGTTAGCCATCATAATATGCATAAATTACTGTGATGTACAATAAATGTGTATGAATTTGAATTTTGGATTGATTCTCATCCAATCAGCAGCCTTGTGATGAAGTTCCTGTTATCGTAAGTTTTCTAATAGGGCCAAAACTAAATATAGGTGTGGTTACGGTTTCCCGACCGACCCTATTTATTCCCAGCGACCCTAAACATTTTATTGTCAATTTTCTTTAAAGTAAAAAAAAAATGAAAAAAAATATATAGATATATGAATTGGACAGTTCCTGCTTCAAAAGGCACAACGCACATTCTTCGGACATGGTTCGTAAATAAAATATTTCAAGAAAAAATGTTTTCCCTACCTACCCTATTTTTTTCCGGCATGTAACGGTAACCACACATATATTTTGTTTTGGCCTAGTTGCGATGTGTTTCTGTCAACGCTCCTCATGTAACATTAACATTAGTCGTAAGTGTTATCTCAGCATTACTATTAGCATTTACAATGTTTCTGACAACAGCCCCCAGGCTTTCCATAGAAGAAAAGTTGTTGTTGCAATGATGTTGCAATGTGTTCATGGCTGTTCATGCACATCTGGGTGTATCGTGTGTACGTGCACACCTTCACACCTGTTTTGCCACCATTTGGCGTGATATCTCAGGGTCAGTGATGTTTACATAACTGTGTGCTGCCAAATGTGCATTTTAGTGGGTTCCCTATCCAAAACACTGGTATCTGCCAAATCTCTACGGGTGTTTATACATAGCCACATGTAAGGTACTGTAATGTAGGTGCGCGTATATAGCTAGGGCTAATAATCGATCGACTAACAACCGATAAAATTGCTATTAATACATTATATTACTTGTTCTTGCAGAAGCAGCAGCTACTTCAAGCACACATACTACTGGTGGCGATTGTGCCATCGGTAATGGTGCCAATGCTGAGAATTTGCTACCTGTTCGATCCTCAATGCAAAGTCAGTTTGTGACGTCTACAATGGAAACACCAGATTTGCTGTTAAATGGTATACACTTATAGGTTACCATTGATGTATATATTTTCGGTCACCCATTAAATCTCTATTGCATGTAATTCAAACACAAATACATGTACTAAAAACAGTCTGTGTTGATGGTGAACAAATCTGATAGATGCAGTAGTGTTGAGCGGTTAAAATAATAAAATAAAATTTAAACAAAGAAAAAATAGAATACAACAACGACATTACTTTCTGTACAAGTAAAGTGATTAAGGTATACATACAAGGAAGGTATTGTGTCGATCGGTATTATCTCGTCGCTCGGTGCTGCCAGGTTAGCAGCTATTATCTCGTATTATCCTCTATTATCCGGGTTAACGGCGTATTATCCCGGCAGATTGCACGATGTCGAGTCAGGAATCCGCGGAGGAGATGCAGGGCGAACAATCGAGCATCGCGGACTGGAGCGTTGCCGACTCGATGGCCGTCAACGTCGACGACGCGTCGGCACTCAACCCGGACGACAATGACGACAACCTGAGCGAGATCAGCAACCTGAGCGGCATCAGCGGCCAGGAGTGGAAGTTCAACTCCGGTGAGCACCCCCCCCCCACCCATCACTCTTCTCACGTGTGAGCACGTGCGGAGGTTGGTGGGTAGGGCTGTTCGTGTCAAGGAGCTAAATATAACAAGGAGAGGGAGCACCGCGATATCTGGCCTAAATTTGGTTTCGGCAGAGACCCTAGAACAGATTAGTGTTTTATTGTCTGTGGGTTTAGTCTGTACAGCCGTTTCAGCTGATTATGGTCCATAGATGGCGCCCTTGAGGCAAAAAGCACACAGCCAATCCGCTTCCTCTCCTTGTTATATTTAGCTCCTTGGTCCGTATTAGTAGTATTATTTATAGTAGAGTCTTGTTAACTACATTAGTCCAGGGGGGGTGTTGCTCTGCTCGCTGCATTGTGCTCACTAGTGCGTGCGGGGTAGGAGGGTGTCCCGGTAACTACACCAGCCTTAGGGTGGAGGGTGTCCTGTTAAGTAAGTTAGTAAGTCAGTGTCAAGTTTATCCCTGGCCTAACGACTCCCCCCTCCCTCTCGCTCCCTCTCTCTCTCTCTCTCTCTCACTCTATCTCTCTATCACACACATTCGGCAGGTCCGATGGGCTGGATACAGAAGCAGATGCTGGATGGCTGTGATCCTTCGGTGCTCCTTCGCGATCTGATGCCAAAGGGAACCAGACTGCCGCCCGACATCGACGACCTGACGCTATGGAGGATAATAGTGAGTGCGCGCCGGGCTAGAAATTAACTTTTTAACAAGGGAGTAACTTGCCTTTAAAAAGAGGGAGTCCGCAGCAAAATGAGGGAGTCCACAGTCTGAAGTTCAAAACTAAAGATATTAACAATAACGCATGTGCTTATTTGGAAGATTCGTGCAGTCATTTGGTCATTTTATGAAAAAATACGGTAATACCACGAGGTCGTGCTATGGTTCACGAGCTAGTTAGTATATAGCAGCATTTTCAACGAGTCACACGGACTCCTGCATATGTCAAATCAGGGAGTCCGACAGTAAATCAGGTAGTATTTGACTCCGGACTCAATTTCGCACCCTGGCGCGATATCGCCTGACGCAGGGGGTTCGAATTTAACCGCGGCATCGACAGCTAGTGCTGCACTTGTGATCCTTACGTCACTAGTGTCGCAGTCGTACTGTGTTCCCTGGCGACCGTTGTCAGAAACAACCTCAGTCTTAACGTGAACTTTTCTTGAACATAAACAGAAACATGGTAAAGTTACAAGTTCCTCATACGCAGTATATAGAGGTCCGTTCTACGAGAAAAGTTAACGTTAAGATTAATGTTTAGACTTATTTTGTTTCTGACAACGGGCTCCTGGTGCTTTGAATTGATATCGACGGCAGTCGACCGCCATGGCTGCCATACCTGCTTTGACTTGTGCTTGATGCCGGGATGACTTGAACAACGAACGTGCTCGTCTGTTTGCCAGGTGAACTTACTCTCGGAACCTCCCGCGAGAACGAAGCTGACGCAAGTGAACACCATCGACGACGTCGTACAGCTGATACGATCGTCGCGCAGCATTGTCGTGCTCACAGGAGCGGGGGTGAGTGGTGGCGCCCCCTAGTGGCAGTGTATTTGTCATGGTAGCTGCTCAGCGGAACGTCCACTCGCCTCGATCTGCACGCGTGTCGCTCTGTTTGACTTAATAAAACATTACGTTATATTGCAACGCATTGCGTTACACTGCACTACGCTAAACTACACACGATGCTAGGCCACGCTACGCCACACTGCAATACGATACATTATATTATTAGTTTTTACTCTGGAATATAGAAAGTACAAAATTATCAAAATTGTATCATAACGTTCCAAGTAGTAATGTGTGTGCGTAAAGTTTGTAGAGTTTGTTTGTGCTGTTATGCGTTGCACTGATTTTTGCTGTCAAATTCCCCTTGATCTTACATACCTGTCTCGCGTCGCTCAGGTGTCCGTATCTTGCGGCATTCCGGACTTCAGATCGCGAGACGGCATCTATGCGCGCCTGAGCATTGACTTCCCGGACCTACCCGACCCCCAGGCGATGTTCGACATCCACTACTTCAGGCGAGATCCCAGACCCTTCTTCAAGTTCGCGAAGGTACGGCGATATGGGCTAGCATCGTTCTCGGGCTCTTCGGCTATGGTTTCATCGCTAATTTTTTCAGTGGCGCTACTGTGCGGTAGACAGCGCTCGCATTGTAGATCTACCCACTACTTTATATTATTATTATAGTATTATTGTATTGTGTTGTATTGTAGTGTAGGATATCTACCCATTACTGTATTTCTTGTTATTCTAAAATTTTTTCTTTTATTCTGTATTCTTGTTATTATTGTACCAGTATTATATTGTATTGTATTGTATTGTATTGTATTGTAGGAGATCTACCCATTACTGTATTTCTTGTTATTCTTTGTTTCTTTTATTCTCTATTCTTGTTATTATTGTACCAATATTATATTGTATTGTATTGTATTGTATTGTATTGTATTGTATTGTATTGTATTGTATTGTATTGTATTGTATTGTATTGTATTGTATTGTATTGTATTGTATTGTATTGTATTGTATTGTATTGTATTGTATTGTATTGTATTGTAGGAGATCTACCCGGGGCAGTTCCAGCCGTCGGCGTGCCATCGCTTCATCCGGCGACTAGAGGAGCACGGCCAGCTGCTGCGAAACTACACGCAGAACATAGACACCCTTGAGCAGGTCGCTGGAATAACCAAGGTCATACAGTGCCACGGTGAGTACCACCGTCACGTTCCTATGGCAAATGCCCCCTATACATTGCACGTGAGCAATAAGCTTCAAATCCTCGTGTGCATGCGTAATGTGCACGAACGAGATTTGCTCGGGGGTGCCGTGAACGCGCGGAGGAGGGGGTGGGGAGGGGAAGGAACGGCAGGCCGAGACGCATGGTGGGCCTGCGCGCGGATTTGCCTCACGATTTCCCCCGTCTCGTTGCCAGGTTCGTTCAACACGGCGACGTGCATGAACTGCAAGCGAAAAGTGAAAGCAGACGAGATAAAACCGGACGTGATGAATCAGGTGAGTGCGCGTCATCGTCGCCGTGTCGTCGTCGTCGACGGCGGGAGCGAGTTTGTCGTGCGCGCGAGCGATCTCAGCGAGATAGAGAGGCTGCCCTCGTATCACAGCAGTAGCGATGTATGAATACTAATACATGAATATATGAATATGAATGAACGATGAATGGTTACG